CTTCATTCAGAATGAACCAGTGTAAAGTCATGAAGGACGGCTATCTGGAGAAGAGGAGTAATGGAGTTCTGCAGCTGTGGAAGAAGAAGCGGTGCGTTCTGTCAGAGGACGGGCTCCGTCTGTACGACTGTAAAGGCGAGAGCGGTAAAGAGATGCTCTTCGAGCAGATGACCACGCTGGACTGCGTGGAGTATAAACGGGGTCTGGTGTACTTCACCATCGTGATGAACGGCGGGAAGGAGATTGACTTCAGGTGCCAGCAGGAGGGAACGGCGTGGAACGCGGAGATCGCGCTCGCGCTGGTGCGCTTCAAAAACCGCGTCGCCGTTCAGACCGGCAGGAACAGACATTTGTCACATGCGGGCAGCTGCGGGGAGGGAGACGTCGAGCTTTGAGGGTAAAGACTGCTGATTTTGATGTTGATCAGCCTTTATTCTGGAAGGGCTGCTTGTGTGCTCTTAGTATGGTGAAGCGTTCACGCGTTCTCAGGAACCAATTATCCTGAATAACATCTGCTATTCATTTACTGGATTGAGCTCAATGAAAGACCGCTCTGTCCGGTCTGACACACGGACAATCATGACTAAATATTCCTTTATAATCTTAAGAGGCTTTACTAAAGGTTTTGCATGGAATAGTTGCCTGAGTCCCCCCCAAAAAAGATAAGAATTTCCAATTGGAATTTTGATGATAATTTGGAACCAATTCTAAAGGATCATATTGGGAATTTGCTTAAAATTCCAAGATATCATAAAACAAAAGTATTACAAAAATATTTTAAAGCGCATCTCCAATAGGAAAACTACACCTATTGAACATCAAATTGAATTTTAAAAAAAAACCATTTTAAAACACCAATAACTCCCAAAGTGATTGTCCTGCCATTAATTCAATTCAAAAGGGTTTCCAAAGCACATACAATATTAATAAATGTATATAAAATTCAGTTGGATTATTCGGGTTATTCAATACGATGTTTTAAAGTTATTATTTGATCCCATTAGTGTCCTTTGGTTCCAGATTTCATTAGAAAATCCAAAAGACATTTTGGTATTTATAAGGCATTCATGCTTGATCAGCTCCCATGCATAAAGCAAAAGCAATTAGATAATGCTGAATGAAACGTGGAATTAAAGCAGATATTAGATTTTCTTCGCTGTAAAAATAATTTGCAATCATGCATTACAAATACACACAGTTTGGATAGCCAGAATATGCCATTTCCATTTGTGCATGGACAAATATGAATAAAAAAATGTATTTAACTGGATGCATCTGTAATTCCTTCCACATCTCATAAGTATCGAAATGCTCCACTAATGCAGTATAACTGTTCTATCCCCCAGATTTATCAACCTAGACACAGGATTGGATCCAAGAGAGAGAAACTGTGGACAAGAAAGTGAAGGCAGGAGCCCAATGTTAAGAAAACACCTGATGAAAAACGCAGAGAACTTTAAAACTCACATATATCTTTTCTTTTGTGCTTCCACCGTTTTTCAAAGTGACACCTCTTGGCGTGCTCACAGACACAGCGGATGGATTTGTACATGTGGGTGTTAGGCCATGGATGTTTTGTACACAGTGGAGTTTTTCCAAGCACTTTTAGTTCAGAAGTCAACAGCAACAGAGACCCAATGGATTGCTCTTCACCATAATTAAATGCTAAATT